AACCCGAAGAGAATCACTGGCCTGAAGGAGTAGAAACACTGCTTCTGTATTACTGTAGGGAGATAATAACCTAAAGCATTTTGAGTCTGAGGCATTAGTCAAATCTCCAGTCTTCTGATACTGAACTGGCTGAGACAGGAAGGGGAGGACACAAAAAGCAAAGATGAGAGGAAGATGAATGGAAAAACTGAAGAGCAGAGAAGAGATATGAGAGAAAGAAATAACAAGAGAATGAACCCCTTCTAGTGGACACTATCAGTTTGTGTGTGGGAGAGAAACTCTCTCTAGAGGATATTCCGGGCATAATAGGGCCACTCAAAGTACCAAATTCAAAGAAAACTATAGCTGTCACATAAGACAGTTTAATGAAATAACTTTTTTTCCTTCAATTAGGTGGGACATAAGTATTAATGCATCAACCTGCATTATGGCACCTGTTTCTTTCTGATTTAAGTTTGGCTAATGGCAGCTTAAGTGGCTGTTGCTTCTTTACTGTTAGAACTGTCTGATTGTGGTGGCTGGTCTACCTGCATGTGCCATCCGACCTCTGCAGCTCATCCAGAATGCAGCGGCTCGCCTGGTCTTCAACCTTCCAAAATGTTCCCACACCACGCCGCTCCTCCGCTCCCTTCACTGGCTTCCAGTAACTGCTAGAATCCACTTCAAGATACTGGTACTTACCATGCTGCGAATGGATCTGGCCCTTCCTACATCCAGGACATGGTTAAACTGTATACCCCAGCGCGTGCACTCCGCTCTGCATCAGCCAAACGACTCGCTGCGAGGGGGACCCAAGTTCCCATCAGCAAAAACACGTGGGTTTGCTATCCTGGCTCCAAGATGGTGGAATGAGCTCCCCATTGAAATCAGGACGGCAGAAAGCTTACACACCTTCCAGCACAGATTGAAAACTCATCTCTTTCGACTCCACTTCGAGCGATAGAATTACTAACAAAGCACTTATATACTAATAAAGGACTGGCTTATCTAAAGCCAGTTGAGTAGCACATGAAATGTTTTGGCTCTATGAAACCTGATGTACTTATATGATTCTGTTTTCTTCAAGTTTGTATTTTGTTGGTCGAACGCACTTTTTGTAAGTCGCTTTGGATAAAAGCGTCAGCTAAATGCAATGTAATGTAATGATGCAATGAGGAGAGGAGGGATAAAAGAAAGATGTGGAACAAAGAAAAAAAAAGTGCAGAAAGAAAAAAGAAAATATCTGACAGGGTCAGAACAAAAGTAAAGCATCAAACATTTGATGTTGTAATGAATGCAATAATCATATCCTGAAAATGTGGATGGACAGGACAACAACAGTTTGGGGACTGTCTGTTTAAGAGAAAAAGTCTTTATAAGCACTCTGGCACTGGGTAACCACCGCCTTCTGCTGTGTGCTGCACTGTGTGATCCTGCAAAGAGCCTAAGTCACTGAAACGCTCCCCACACCAAACACATTTAAACTGCCCTTCTCTGGAGTGTGTGCTCGTGTGTTTGGTCAAGTGCTCGCGTTGTTTGAAGCCCTTGGTGCAGTGGCCACATTTGTACGGTTTCTCCCCTGTATGCACGCGCCGGTGTCTGTTCAGGTCCGAGGAGTATTTAAAACGTTTCTCGCATTCAGGGCACTTCAGCGGCTTTTCTCGGGACGGGTCGCATCGATGCTGGACAAATTCTGAAGATGACAGGAATCGGCGGTCACAGAGGGAGCACTTTAGAGGCTTCTCCTGGCAGTGAGAGTTTTGATGCCGCTGTAACGTAGAACTCTTCTTGTACCCTTTACCGCAAACGTCACACTTGTACGGCTTGTCTGGCGAGGTGTTAGATGACTCGCCACACTTGTGTCTGAGCAGCTCTCCAGACTGGCTGAACTCTTTCTGGCATGAGGCGCACTTAAACAGGTTGTCCATGCCGTGGACGTGCTGGTGGTAGAGGAGGTGCGAGGGCTGCATGAAGCCCTTGTCACACAGGTTGCATTTGAACGGGCGGTCTGTAGGGTCTTTGTGCGTTCGTCTGTGGCGCACCAGTGCGTACTGCTGCTTGAAGCTCATCTGGCACTCGTCACAGTGGAAGGGACGCTCCTCCGAGTGTGTGCGCTCGTGCTGCCGGAGGTCAGACGGACGCTTGAAACCTTTACCGCACGTGGCGCAGCGGAACGGCCGGGAACCCTGCGGATGGCAGGGGTGGTGGAGAAGCTCCGACGACTCTTTGAAGTGTAGCTCGCATAAGTTGCATTTGAATAAGTGCTCGCCCGAATGCACGTACATGTGACGCACGAGGTGGGAGCGGTGCTTGAAACTCTTCTCGCAAACGGCGCACTTGAACGGCCGTTCGCTGCTGTGTGTCCGCTGGTGGTGCTGGAGATGGGATGACTGGCTGAAGGCCTTGTCGCATGTGTCGCATTTGAAGGGTTTTTCGCCCGTGTGCACCCTCTCGTGCCGCGTGAGTTCTGACATGTGTTTGAAGCCCTTCTGGCAAACGGAGCATTTGTATGGCCGGTCTCGCGCCGAGGGAAACGGTAGAATGGATGAGCTGCTGCTTGCCGATGCCCCGTCGCTGCTGGGCTGCTGGGGAGTATTTGAGGTGGGCGTGGTGTTGCCAGAAGAACCGGGTTGGTAGGTTTTCTCACATATTGAACACTTCATTGGGTTGGTGCTGTTGTGGGACGTATGGTGCTGCGCTAAAGAGGTGAGTAGAGAGAAGCCCATCTTACAAACTCCACACACAAACGGCTTCTGCTCCACCTGAACACACTGGTGCTCTAGCAAGTCTGTCGCCTGGTGGAAAATCTTCAAGCACTGAGTGCACTGGAATGACCTGTCCTGATTCACCATGCACTGGTGCTCGTGTGGGTTGGCCAGGTGAGAGATATCATGTCCACAGGCCCCGCACTTGTGTCCTGCTTCCGTTGCTACCTGCAGGGTGCTCTGCTGGGCCTGGGCGGGGTGCTGCTGCTGCTGACTGAGCTGCCCCCCTCCATGCTGCTGACTGTTGTGTTGTTGGCTGTGTTGGCTGTGCTGTCCATGCTGGGTCTGCTGCGGCTGCTGTAAAGACGTAGCATCCTGCTGTAGTACGATGCCATACACTGCACAGCCCAATGCGTTCTCAGCAGATGGAGGTATGGTGTGGACGACTGGAGGTGGAGTGACTGCATGCTGCTGCCATGCCTCGGGCATGCGGGCTCGGGAGTAGGGATTCAGTTTGGCAGCCGGTGCGGCCCAACTGCGGTAAGAAATGGAGATTGAAACATATTTAAACAATTAGCTGAGACTTTAGAGTGTTTTGAAAAAATTGAAAAAAAAACTCACTCCATTTCAGCAAGTGGAACTGTCCAGAGGAGTGGAGATCTGACTTGTGTGGAGGGATGGAAGTAATCCTCCTACTTTGACTTCATTTGTGGCATTTAACTGGTAACTGTATGAACAAAATAATTAAGGTGAGACAGAACATCAATGTGCAATCAAAGGAGCTACTACTCAAAAGCAAAGATGTAAAATTATGTTATATTTACAACATCCACTGATCAAACTGCCAGTATACCATGGTCAAAATATATATATATTGTTGTAGCAGAATGCTTTCAAAATTGTTGTTCAAGATTGCAAATGTAATTTTCTACATCAGTTTTGATGATTTTTCTTGATAAACTCTGCAGGATTAAACGTTCACAATTATTAATAATGACTTACTATAAGTACTGTGATCTGTGTTGCAATATTAGGTAACTGTTGGGTCAAGACTATGCAGGCAGCCCCTCAAGACAAATAACACAGCAGATTCTTCCTATCTAGTTTACTAGTAGCAAATATAGAAGAGGTAAACTGTTGAAAGCCTGTTTGCATCAGTCATAATGAATCACCCACAAGACATGTAATGTGAAAAACATCCTTACAATGACATGTACTGCATTTGACATTGCTGTAATAATCCCATTTCAGACAACTTGAGATGTGCATCGTGAACGCAGAATTGCACAGCATTGAACCATTCATTAACATACACACTTTAACGCTTAGTCGTAAATGTACATGATTATTAAACCTGTTATTTTTACAAACGATTAAGTAGAAATCCAAATGCTCAACGATTCGCGTGTAAAAAAAAAAGAAGTGGAACATTTGCCTGTTCGTCTCCAGGCAAAGATCAGTAGGCTAACCAGCTAGCCTAGCCACATGCTAACTCGGCCACAGAGGCGCAGGGAAGAGCTAACGTTAACGGACTAGCCTTAGGAAAATAACAGTCCAGTAGCTACTGCAGCAGAGACACCTTAGCTAGTGTGTGGTGCATGTTAACAGCGATGATAAATACTGCATTTACATACCTGTGGAGTCCAGTCAAGCCTGTAAAAATATCCCCGATAAAATGACAGTGCAGTATGTTAGCTAGCGTTGCTCCCCCGAATAACATTAGGTTCCTTCTTCACATCCGCAAACGGTGCTTGGATGGTCTCTTGTTAGAGCACTGTGCTCCGGGGGCCGGAAAAAATGTTATTTGCTGGTCATAACAATTGGTGAAAATTCTCTCACGGTTTACCAATTTGCCAGATAAACGGTCTCGTTTCACGTATACATTTATTACACTCCTAAGGCATTCTCTCAGCAATAGAAAACACATGCATTTTGTTGTAAATTGCTAGCTAGCTATCAGCTAGCTTCTGAGCCCCTGCTCGCACACGGGAACATGAATAAACAAATAGTTCATTGGCATGCTCACAGAACACACGCGCACGCACACACACAGAACCTGGTTTTCTTGGCTTTTACTTCTGTAAACGTTTCCCCATTCAACAAATGTATTCGCAAATCAAGTCATAAAGAATAACATATGAAAGTGAATGTTTATTAGACAACACTTTAAAATAGGGTATTTCTTATTTTTCTTCTTCTTCGGTTCACCAGTAGCTGTCACCTCTTTTAAATGTTGTGAGGGCTAACATGCATTTTGACATATTTCTCAATTTCATTATGCATATCGTTTCAAACCTCTGAAAGGGGAACTCATTTGAGCCAGGGCTGCGTTTCACTGGGAACAACATTTGTGTTACAAAAGGTTATTTACACCGGAAGCGCAGGACTGCGTTGACAACTCGCCGACTGGTTGTCATTTGCCGCTAAAAATACGTTTTGTAGCCTACATTTTAACTTTAAATATGTATGTGAATTAATATCTGTCTCTTAGCAAATGTACATGTGTATTTAAGTTTCGCTATGCTCTGAAACATTACACATGACAGGATGTTGGTTTGCTACAGCAGCAGCTCGGAGGAGGAAAGTGAGGACGCAGTACCGACTGATGAAAACAACAGTTTTTCTCGAAAGTGTCAAGAGGAAGAGGATGGTAACAACGGTGGCCCAGCGAGGAAGAAACACAAAATTGAGCAGCAGGCTCCTAAATCAAGGTGTGTGTTTGTCAATGTGTCGGTCTGCAGAACTGAAATAAGTTATCAGATATTTTACTTGAGTAAAACTAGCAGTGCTATAGTGTAAAAAAGTTAGTACAAATGGAAGTCTTGCATTCAAAATGCTACTCGGGTAAAAGCACAAAAGTATTAGCATATGCTTAACGTAGCAAAAGTTATAGCACTCATTATGTAGTGTATCGCCCATTTTAGAACCATATCTATTTTATATAAATTGTTGTATTATAAATATTGATGCATTTATTTAAGGAAGGGTTTAATTGAGTATATTTACATGTATATAGTTCTAGGTAGCTCAACAATATAACATAGTTTATAAATAGATTTATATTTTGTATTAGTCATCCTAATCTGCAAAGTAACAGCTGTAATATAAAAGTAGTAAATAAAAAAACGTGCCTACAAAATGTATAATTAAATTTGAAAGTGGCATAATTTACAAATATTGAGACATTTTACCTAGTTACATTCCAACACCACAAGACAGAGAAACATACAGCACATATACAGGATGAGGCAGCAAACACATTTTGTAACATATGATCAAAAGTAGGTAATTTATTTAAAAATAAAATATGTATTCAACTTCTTCTCCTGGCCAACCCCTTGAGAATGAACCTATGGTCTCACCGGTGTGTGTTTCATTAGGCTTCCTCTCCCTGGCTGCCTGTTGGCCATGTTTCCAGATGAAGAGGACGCAGAGACTGAAGACAGCTCCCTTCATGGTGGACGCATCCGCTCCTTCAAACATGAGAGAGGCAACTGGGCCAGTTACGTTTATTTACCATGTAAGACCAACACACCATACTGCTGCTGGTAATAATGACTTCATTCTAATTGATTTAACCCACCTTCTCTCTCTCTCTCCTCTGCACATCAGACCATCCTGAGGAGGAGTTCATGGAGTTGTTGGAGGATCTGCTCTCGTTTGCCAGTGCCCATGGAGCGGTTTTGACCCTGCAGGAGGAGTTCCACCTCAGCCTGTCTCAGACGGTGGTGCTCAGACACCACTGGATCCAACCCTTCGCCCAGAGCCTGAAGGCAGGTCTGATGCACTGCAAGAGGTAAGCTCAAATACCCATACAACGAAAGAAACTCATATTTGATTTGTTCATTTATTTTCTGCTTAACACCAGTGTGTTTGCAGAACATATGTACAGGAACACTATGTACAGGAAGCCATTTATAGGACAAGTATTTCAATTGTGACAAAAAATCCTTACATTTTCAGTAATATTACCCATAAAGCCTCCACTGTTAACGTAGAATATAAAAACTGAGAAAAGTCTCGATGAAATCAAGAAAATGTTGGCCGCATTTAACAAAAGCAGAAATATATATCAATCTATCCATTTGGGTATAATTCAAGTCTCATTTACTCAGTTCTATGCTCGCTACTTCCCAAAACACATGCATTTGTACTAAAACCTTGTTTTAAATGGTTACGCTTTCACAGTTGCACTACCAGTCTGAAGTTGAATAAAAAATGTTTTTGTGAAAATGCATGTGTGAGAGAAGTAATTAGCATACAGTACGACAAGAATAATGAAGAGAGTGCAGGCATAGGTAATCAATGAAACAATATACATATTGGATCTCTGCAGGTAAGGTGAGGAAAACAGCATACAGTATGCAGCAGCAGTATAACTTGCACTGGAGTAAGTGGAATAGAGAACATCGTTGATAAAAGATAGTCAAGTTGCATCAGAATCTGACTGGTGGAAATGTGTCCATGCTGTGTTTCTTGTTTCCAGGTTTCTGTGCACAGCAGGGAGACTGAGGGTCTACTGTAACGCTGAGAGGACCAGGTACTAGGGCTGCTCAATTAATCATATTTTAATCGCAATTACGAGTATGGCTTGCAACGATTATGAAAACAACGTAATCGAAATAAAACGATTATTTTTGTATTAATATTATTACCTTTTTTTTTTTTTTATTAAATTTAAAAAATGTTGTATTGGTTTTTCAGTTGAGTTATACTTAAAGTTCAGGGTAATTAACTGTTAAAAACATACTGTTCAAAAAAAAAATCTCCAATATATTGATGTTTTCAAAGTAAATGGATAATCGTTTTTAATAATCGTGATATCAATTATTGACCCAAATAATCGAGATTGTGATTTTTGCCATAATCGAGCAGCCCTACCAGGTACAGACACTGCTTTGAATTATCTTCCTTTCTCACTAATATCATATACTGTATACACGTATAACTACTGTAAGTCACTGGCAAATGAGCTATAAACAAAAATATATGTGTGTGTGGGTATTATTCAGTCATAGGTCTTTAGGTATATAGTCTTAGGGCTAGCTGATATGCAGACAATCAAATATCACAATTTGTTTTGACCAAATGCTTCCATATGGGTTCAGCAACATTATGGCTGAGTTGATCATTGGTATTTTCACATATTTTTAACACAATGGTATTTTGATAAATATTCATCACTTATTAGGATATAAGGAACAAGTGGTGAAGGCAGATAATAAAACAGTCTGGTACATTTAGAAATTCTTATGACTTTACTGTAATGCAGCCTTTAAAACCATGAAAATACAACAATTAAGCCATATTACGATAATTATAATAAAATATCACAATTGTATGAAAGCATTAACTGAAAATTGATGATAATGCAAATAAAAAATGGAAAACCTAACAAATAAAACATAATTTCTAAACCAACAAAATAATAAAAATCCCCAAGAATACTTAGTCTCAGATCTCAGTTTCGATAATATATCAACATTTTACATTACACATTCAGTTTTAACTGTTGCAAAAAAGTTATTGACTTATCTGTCAAGTATACATTTTAATTCTTAATGTGTCTGTGAGAAATATCTTATCTCTCTGTGTTGTCCCCCGCAGGACGTTTCTGGGGATGGAGGTGTGCGCTGGGCATGTTCAGATAATGGACCTGGTCCATGAAGTGGACAAAACCATGACGGAGTTTCACCTGGACACCTTCTATAAGGTCACTGTCTGAGAGACACATTTTATCCTTTGAAATATATAGCAAGACCAGTTTGTGTGTCACTCTTTAAGTTTGAATTAGTATTTTTCTGTTGTTTAGGTACTATTAAATTACATTTAGATATTGAGCTAATAGGACAGGTGTATTTTTGCATTAAAACACCCAGTTTGTCCCATATGACTTATTGTAAAAAATAATTACTATTCAATAAATGATTGTAAACCTAACATCCACCCTGGTCTGTTTTTGAAGGATCCTTCTTTCCATGTGAGTCTGGCCTGGTGTGCTGGAGACCTGACGGGACAGATGAAGGAGGGGTGCATTCAGGGGATGCAGGTACACTGACCCCACTCTGTTTCTTACATCTTAAATCATTCCAATGTTCTGACAATATATAAATGCCAACATATAAGGGGGTCATTTAACAGGTATCTCTATTACATAGATTTTCACAAAGAAAGCACTAATAAGTATATGTGTTATAATTATAAAGCTGTTAAAAAGCATCATTCTTGAGTAATGCATCCTTTTCAAAAACGTGTGTTCATGCAAAAGATTTCAAATCTAAAGAGACCCTCTTGGGTTGGGTCACGATGGAAAGAAACGTGATTAACAGGACCCTACGGAGCTCTTTAATCTGCTGTTGTATCACTATAATATTTCTAATGGGAACTTATTATGAGTACAGAATACATTTACAGTGACCTTATTGTACCTTTGGGCAGTTTTATGATATTAATAGAATGTGGTACTGTAATGTTATATTCCTACAGAGAGTTATTTCCAATAGTAGTAGTACTACTAAAGTAGATTTGGTTTTTCTACTATGTATATATTGATTGAGGCATCTCTTTAGTTTTGGCACACAGTAGCCATGCTATCCTCTTTTATGCAATATTTTACGTACATATTTATCTAAATGTTAATTGTTTTGTTTTATAATAAGGGTTTATGTGGACTTAAAGTTCTCAAACGTTGGAAGAAGAACCCAGATCCTTTTATGTTCCCTTAAAGGTGGGGTAAGTAATTTTGGAGAAACCAGCTGAAGTGCCTAGAATTTGAAAATCCACAACCGGAACAAATCTGCCACTTCCTTACAGAGCCCCTCCTCCAACACACACGAACGCGCACATGACCAATGAGGGCACAAGATAAGTTTGTGCACAGATGGAAGGCTGACAGGCAGGTAGGCCATCCAGTTACTTTAGCCGGGCCGGCTCAGATGATTGGTTGTACTTTTTACAGTATTACGGCTTCCACAGATGACATTTTTTTATGGATTTGTTGTCAAAGCACTTCAGATATTCATTGCTATCGGGATGTTAAGAGCATTCCATGGAATATAACAAAAAGTGTATCTCGAGCCGGTTTCTCAAACTTACCTATCCCACCTTTAAAGAAGTAATCTTCCAAATTTTACAAGAAGTACTCTATTTGCGGTTGACATTTTATGATAGTAAACTTATGTTTTGCCAATTTTATGTCTTTTAAAAGTATATGTTTTTTAATAAATGTTTACATGGACTGCCCCCCCTCCCTTAGGGGAATTCATCCACAGAAAACACACTGGACGCTGCACTAGGTCAGAAACCAGAGGAGACTGTGAGGTCCACCGTAGTAGACGGACCACTGTTGGACAAAATGTCCTCTAATTAAAGGCAGCTCATTGTGGAACAGCCTCCCAACTGAGATACGGATTGTCCCACTCTCAATAGGTTCAAAGGGCAACTCAAAGAATGGTTGAGAAACAAACAGACGTGTAATCACCGCTAAATGCACTTTAACACAGGGGTATCTCCTGTTGCACTTTATATGTCGTAGTTGCTATATTGTATCACCATGTCATAAATACTTGTGTATGCTGCTCTTGCTCTTTTGCACTTTGTATATCATGTATTTGTTTTTTCTATGTTTGTAAAATGTAATTTTCTTAAATGTTTTATGTGAGGGACTGCGGATGGAAATGAGCTCAAAGCTAAATCTGGCACTGTTACGCTTGACACATTTGAATGTTTTAAGTGTTCATTGCTGTGCATTGTCCATGTCCCTGCCAAATAAACGATAACAAAAAAAATGTAGGCCTAAAGTAACTTGAACACAGGTAATCAAACTGACTGAGCCAAAAGGCATTATTTACCGATCTATTTTTTTCTACCATGTAACCCAAGAGTGTGGTCATTATCAGCCAATATTCTGTTAAGCGATATAAAAAAGGTCTGAACTACTAACAGTTGACCTCTTGTCTAGGTAGAGTATAGGTGTAATGTATGCCTTACATAACACCAATAAATCATACTATGGTCTACATGTGAATTGTGCTGAACACTACTGACTAACTTTGGGTAGTAAGAGTACTTGACTTTGACTCATTAACAGGAATTTTGACAAAAGATCTTGCACTAAATGTCAATGCTAATCAAAGTCTGCCTTTCTTCCTGTTAGAGTCTGGTTGATAACCATGAAGAAGGACCATTCGTGCTGCAGTTGGACTGCGAGGAGCTGCGCTTCAGAACAGGAAACAAAACCTTCCGCTTCCCTCTGAAGCCCTGAGTGGATACATGAAAACCTTGAAGTCCTAAGATTGACAGCTGTTTTCTTCTGACACACTACAGAGCTGGAACACTTAAACCCTCTTAGTATTGACACTGCTGGCAGATATGTGGCAGGTCCAAACAATGACAATCAAGGCTCCCTAGAGTGGTGCAGTGGTGATGTTTTTTTGTAGGCTCCGCATATTTACACCACTCCAAGCATAAATGAAATTTGCAGAAGTAAAAAGCAATAGTTAGGCTATAAAGGAGCTACATCACCGTCGCGTGAGTTCACGTCACCACCGCTAAACTCAAGGCGGCCTATGTTCAGCATAATGACAGTCAGTTGTCTTTTTAGCAACCGCTGTTTTTATGAAGTTTTGGATATTCAGGAATAGTGTAATTATTATTATTATTATTAAAATGTGAAAATCTCAGCTTGTTAACCACAGACCTTTTTCAGGCATCTCACCAAAAACATGTTCAAAGAAACATTAAGTTTGAGACAAGGGAACTTTAAGTGCTCAAATGCGTACTGATTTACGGGTTTTGGGACTCATCTCTGCACCATTCTATGGCATAAGAATATGCATTGTTTTAAAAAGATGTATATAAATAAAGTTGCTACTGGTTTCTACTTCTTTGCACATGGGATGCTAATGCTACGAGATGTGATAAGTATGGAAGCCCGTTTGCGCCACAGAAAAGAAAAAAATGTATCCAGTAATTCATAATAATGAGTAATTCATAATTATGAGAAAGTAAGTCATAATTATGAGAAAGTAAGTCATAATTATGAGAAAGTAAGTCATAATAATTAGATGGTGAGTGATAATGAGATAGTAAGTCATAATAAGTTGTGGCGCAAACAGGCTTCCATAGTTCAGGGTCCAGAAAGGTGAATGTCACTGACATTTGTTTTTCGAGAATCATGACGCATGTGTGAGAAGCCTCACATTCAAAGGGTGGAAAGCCGCAATGAAGGGAAGTTGTGGACTTTATCAGTATTGAAACCTCAATAGTGGTTCCCAAACAGACATGAACACATGAAGGGAAAAAGTCGTCACTAAATAAAGTTAAAATGACAATTCTCTCCGACTACTGTCCTAGAGCACTAAAAGAAAAGTCAAGCTGATATTTGAAATGTTTTACTATATAGAAGGCAACAAAAGTTTGACACATTTATGAGAGTTCATAGCAGAGTATCAGTGGTGTGGCCCTCAGGGCCCCGCATGGCACAGAACAATCACTGGGGCAAAAGAGACTCTGACTGCTGGTCCACAAGGACAAAACTCTGCACTGGAACTTTTAAAAGAGAAAAATTACAAATGATAAACAGCAAATAAAATATCCAATTGAACAGAATATGTCCCTTATTTGTGCCTGTGTAAATTCAGTCCGTGGAGGCACAACGTATGTGCAGAACCACTTATACTGTACAGAACATGGAAAGTTAAGAGAAGGAGCTTAATAAAGCAGGTTAAAGTATGCACAAATTGCAACACACTGACTCCAACAAATAGCCTCTCCCTACCTCTCTGTTTTTGGTCATTTAGAAATCAGGAGTAGAATTTGAAATGAATGTATTCGTTTAAACTCTTTAAAAAAGTATCAATAGCCCAGGATTTGATCCGATCTCGCTTCTTTTTGATTATCTTCGCCTGTACGGTCAAATTAAAGGCAAAAAATCTTCAACAAAAAATATATATTCATTTTTAAATACTTGATAAAAGTAGCTGACTTTTAATTAAGACTGTGAGATGCGATTGAAAGCTCATAGAAAAGCCAGTAAGTGGACTTTAAAGTGTAAAACTGTTTAACCATGCTATTTGAACTTTGAGTGGCTTCAACCAGACTGAAACCAGCTTCCATATCCCAGATTCAGCACACGACTCATTTAATCAGCGAACGTCTACTAAAAGCACTGAAACGTAACGTAAGAGAAAGAGCGGCAGGTTAAAGTATGCACAAATTGCAACACACTGACTCCAACAAATAGCCTCTCACTGAAACGTGACTTAGAACTATAGAAAAGCTGTATATGCTTTACTGTTGAGCCTTACAATACATTAGAGTCAGAAATCTCTTTCACAACATGAATAAATCATCTGACTTTGATTAATAACCTAAGAAAGTGGCACATACAGTATATCCCTGGTTGACTTGTACATACACGTCCTATTGTAGATTTAGTAGGTAAAATCTTGGGTTTAAAAGCTTATAACAATATAAAAGCCATTGTATTTAGGATTACTCAACAGTAAACAACCTGACATTAACATACATTGTATAATTAAAGCTGACATAACTGAGACGTTGACCCTAATTAAATGTATTATCAACAAATGACACATAATTGTATTATTACAATAAAAACTGTTATTTAAAAGCAATAATATTAAAGGTGGGGTAGGTAAGTTTGAGAAACTGGCTCGAGATACACTTTTTGTTATATTCCATGGAATGCTCTTAACATCCCGATAGCAATGAATATCTTAAGTGCTTTGACAAAAAATCCATATAAAAAGGTCATCTGTGGAAGCTGTAGTACTGTAAAAAGCACGACCAATCATTTTAGCCGGCCCGGCTAAAGTATCTGGATGGCCTACCTGCCTGTCAGCCTTCCAGCTGTGCACAAACTTATCTCGTGCCCTCATTGGTCATGTGCGCGTTCGTGTGTGTTGGAGGAGGGGCTCTGTAAAGAAGTGGCAGATTTTTTCCGGCTGTGTATTTTCAAATTCTAGCGCACTCGAGCTGGTTTCTCCAAAATTACCTACCCTACCTTTATGTTGAACCTAATATCAACTAACCTAATACAATTATGTGTAATTTGTTGACAATACATTTCATTAGTCAACTTTTCAGATTTTTCAGTATATAAAATTAAGTTAAAATCAGTTTTCTTTTAAATGTAACAATGTTTTCTAAAGCATAGTGGTGTACACAAGAATACATTAGCAGTCACTGTCCGGAGAGACGTGTCACTTCCTGCCAGCATTATGGGGAGAACAGCACGTCCTTGATGTAAGCCACGGTGGTGAAGTTCAGCAGCATGTCCACGTGCTCGTTCCCGTCGAGCTCCTTCAACATCACGGGCTGTTTCTGCCCCCCCACCCAGCGGCCACACTGCGTGGCGCTCTGCAGGTTGACCGTCCCGTCCCCGTCGCTCATCACCACCGTGGGCTCCACGTCGGGGAACTTGTCAGTGTACTGGAAGCTGGCCTGCGTGGGGATGCCGCTGCCGTACAGGCAGTGGACGGCCACGCCGGGGGGTCTGAAGTCGGCCACCAGTGGCTCCGTGTCCTGCCGCATCATCCAGCCGTCCTCGAAGTCGATGTCCTTGTAGAGGCGCTGGTAGTCCAGCACGGTGTAGTTGGTGGTGGGGGTCTGCACCAACACCTGGTGATGGATGGAGAAACATAACTGTTGCTCAGTGCTGTTGCTCAGATTGTATATGTATGTATATTTATATAATTACCTCTCTATTATTTTGCCCTTGTCTTTTACTATGAATTGATAAAGGGGAAGCACTTGGATGACATTAAGAGGACATATCTAAGACTCCTTTATATATCACTGTCTTGCAATCAGCTTAATCTTACTTTAAATATTATATATTTTTGGGTTTTTAAACCCCATTAATATGATTTATTACGATTTATTTTTCACATAGAAAATAAATTATCTGGCTTTATAGCTAAGTGCTTCACTATATTCACCAGTAAGTTGCTAACTTCTGTGAGCGTTAATTATAAATAAAGGTTTGAAGTTTCCAATGCTATACTGAAAACTCGGAAAGCCAAGACAGGTGGCCAAAAAACCCACCTGATCTTTGGCCCAGGAGTGGGCGTAGGGCAGCAGCCAGGAGGTGGAGACAGCAGAACGTTGTTGGGAGCGAATCTTCAGCGGGCTGATCACCGGGATGTGGTTATTATCACCTGCAGGAACAGAGAAAAGAAACCAGTGACAGAGAAGTGAAACTGAGCATAAAGGAGAGTTTTACTGTGTGGCTTCCTAAAAAACATTTACCAACACACAGGAGCTGATGTAACTGTCCTTTAAGCAACAGGGTCCGACTATAAAGTAAACTTATAGAGGAACAACGGCTGTTTCCTAATCATTTGAAACAGCACTCATTAACTTCCAATGAGAAATATGTAAACGTTTGAGGGTCTTTACTGTCCAGCAATGATCGCATAACATAAGTTTTTAGATTAGATAAGACCCCCTACATAAGCAAAACAGTTTCCACAAAGCAGTTCTATCTCTTACCAGAGATGAGCACCCGGAGGGTCTTGGCCACCCCGGCCCACGGTGATCCCAGAGAGATGAATGCTTTGATGTATCGGTCCTTCCAGGCCTGTGGCTGCTGGTTGAGGAAGTACAGGGTGTACATGTTGCCCATGCTGTGAGCAATGAGCACCACGGGCCCTCCTGCCTTCTCCGCCATCTCTTCAATCATCTTCTGCAGCGCCAGGAAATACTCCTTATTTTCATCTGAGAAAGGACACACAACAAAGAAGATTAGTAAACAAAGTTCCCCCACTCGCTGTGGAATTTTTAGGTTGGAGCACTTCCAACACTTGTTTTATTACTTCCTGGTATGCAGATAAAGGGCTGCAACAAGAGTGTGACAGGTCAAATATGTGGCCCGATAGAGGAAATTCCATTCTGATTTCACTACCTTAAACACCTCTCTCAAAATAAAAGGACAAAAAGTCCATGAAGGTTTCTCATTTCTCTAATTTCCCCTCCTCGACTCCTCGGTCCTCCGATAGTGACCCGGAAATGGATTTCAGCGTGCCATGTTGAAGGACATCTCATTTCTCTAAATGCACTTCGAGGACCGAGCATCGAGCATTGAGGAGGCTCTCTGGAGGAGCTATAAACGCGGATCCTCCGTGGATGTATTTCCGGCAACAGAGATGTTTCAAAGAGTCGTGACGCACGGCCGGACTTATCTCAGCCAATGACAGCTCTGCATGCATCCCCTGGATATTATTTTATTAACTGCTTTCATCACAACGCGATGTTTACAGAGAGAACAGCTGTGAGGTCCGTGCAGAAAGCAGAGCAGTGTGTATAATATATATCACTCAGTATAACAGGCCTGCATTACTCTCTTTATTGTGTAAGGGGCTGAGAGGCAGGGTAGTGGGAGGCACCTACATTCCCAACAGGTGGCTCCACCCTCTTCCAATTAGCAGGAGCAGGTGTGGAGACCTCACACCTGGTGCTAATCACTCCCTCAAGGGAGACAAAGCACACAGAATTGCTCAGTTGTGTGTGGCACATGGAGGCTCCCAGTGTAAGGAAACGTTTTGGAAAGCTGGTAAGTCTTTTTGGATTTGAACACTGCACTACCTCTTTATCTGCCCAGTCCTGTTACAATTGGTATGTTATTGCTTTAGTTTAGTAGATATCTACAAACAAAGAGTCGATATTTTTCTAAAACCATTTAGTGCTTCACATAATACAATACACAATGGCTGTAGCCTGATATTTTATATGCTTTAGGAGCTGTGTGTGTGTGTGCTCTCTTACTTGTATGATTCTGAAATTGTATATATAAATATGTGTGTGTATATCTGTAGCCTGTTATTGTCTCATTATACCGCAAGACACAAGGATAGGAGTCGAGGAGGGGAATTAGAGAAATTAGAAACCGTCCGGCTGGAACAGTTGTTTTTGTTTGGTTTCCTCCTAATGTACAAAGACATTCACACTGACTTACAAAATTGAAAGATGCGAATGTTTCTTAAACCAATTAACATGCCTGCTAAATGATTTAAAGGTCACCTATCATGCTATTTTTAGGCAATAGCATAGGTCTTAGATATATAAAAACATGTCTATGAAGTCTTTTGCTCAAAATACCAAACGGATCACCCATTCTAGCCATGCCTCATATCCCTCTATTTCACTTTCTGTTTCAAAAGCACTGATTTTGGGTATAAAGCTTAAAAAAAAAAAATGTATACAAAATAGGAGCGGAGCTTATGTCTGCTCATGCGGGAGATTCTACCGGCAGAATCTGCCGTGATGAAACGCCATATCATGGATTATCAAGGATTATTTCTCAAACAGTATGGAGCTTTCTCTCTTGCCGGTTATACCACAAGGTGAGTTCCTTTTTATTTCCTGCTTTTTCACACACATGCTCTCTAGTACAGGTTAGCGCCGAGTGTTAGCGATGCTAATGTAAACATACACCGACCATATTACGTCCAAAACAGTCGGGCATTGTTTCTGATAGCAACGTTTCTGATAGTGCTGTGGGTCTGCATTGCTGATATGATGTCATATCGGACGCAAATCTGGATCAGCTCCGTTGTTCCCTCGTTTTTAGAGATTTGGGTACGGAGGAAAAGAGAGAGGGTTTTATTTTCTGACGCTGCGTGAGTTCCCTGACACACCGGGGACACATTTATGTATAAAAGACATCAAAAAGTGTATTTTGCATGATAGGTCCCCTTTAAAAGTAGTGATTTTCGCCTCAATGCACAGAACACAATTTAAAGGGTAGGACAATATTGGAGTGCTTAATTTGAGAGATTAAAATAGAATAATTAATGCTCAAAACATATTTTTTGCATGATCCTATTTTTAAGTTTTGAGTATTCTGTCAAGCATCCAGTTTTTTCTAGATGTTATGCGTCTGTCTGGGAAAAATATATATATATTTTTAACTTAATACAAAAACATGTATGTGAAATATGGGACTAGCTATTATTTGTTAAACATACTTCTCCCACATTAAAAGAACGGCATGCCTCTCCGCAGCTGGCTCGTGATCTGCAGGGATAGTTTCATGCACCAAAATGTGTGACAAGCAGACATATCAGAATGGTAAGCTTAGTTAGCATTTGTTATTTCTCCATGTAGTTTGTTAGCTTGTAACTAGCCTTAGTAGAAACGGCAGTAATGGTTGTTGCACATATAGACTCAGCTTGCAATATACCCCTTCTTCTCTGGAACTTCTCATTTGCTAGAAGTGTTATGTTTATGTTATGGAAAGCCCCAACTAAAACACTTATTTAGCATTTAACAAATATTGTACCTACTGCAATTTGAATATCACACTAGTGCATTTTGCAATTTTGATAGAATTTTGAATAACTGTGCACAGTGCCGACTAGAGTCTGTGGGGGCCCTAGGCAAACATCATTCACTGGGGGCCCCTCGAACCAGCTATTCATCACCACGCACAGCCGACAGCACCCCCCCCCCCCCCACCCCCTGGAGCGGACCAAGGCAGCAAGGCAACAAAACTTAAGATAAGAAGCAGCATTTTACGGCTCTATGCATGGGGCCGCCTTGAAGGGGTTTCCCGACATGTTGTTGCAGTAAATTAAAGGGTGTTTCATGTTGTCGTTGCTGTGGACCTTCTTAATCTACCTTCTTTGGGGGCCCCCTTCTGGTCCGGGGCCCCAAGCAGTTGCCTGCCTTGCCTGTTCGCAAGCGGCGGCCCTGACTGTGCAGCCCTTATTCGTTCCTTGGGTATGTGGCTGTCTGATTGTGTGTTCTGTGTTTGCTCATCCATGGTGTTCACATCTTATTTCCCTCATGATATGTTTTATAATATATATTTTGTTAAACTCTCTAGGGACATGTTAAAAACCACCATGATTTCCATCTGGACAAACCACATACAGGTTCTCCAATTATAAATTAGTTCATGATTGTTTTAATAAATCATTTTTTTAAATGACAAGAATGAGGAAGTGTCATTTGGGTTTTACTAGTGAAGGCTCATAATTTAGGCTAACGGTCCAGGGCTTTAAAGGTCCCATGCAGAGTTGGGTGTAACGCGTTACAAAGTAACGCGTTACTGTAATAATATTACTTTTGTTGGTAACGAGTAGTGTAACGCGTTACTTTTATAATTCAGTAATCACACTACAGTTACTAACATTGCCCCGACACGCGTTACTTTTATAAAATAATCACACTCACTGACAGACTAGAGGGGTTTCCGCCGCAGGTTTACAGTCTATGGTTTATATACATGTAGGCCTATGTAATCTGCGCGACTTGCGAGACCACATCTCCACGTGCAGCAGTGCTGCATAAACATGGATGAGTCATCTGTGAACTCCCTCAACGGGGCCGCTCGCTCTCTTTTATTGATCGCCCTCTCACGGGTGAACAGTTCAATGTCCCGCTTCATTGTAGGAATTCTGTCTCTACCACTTTAGTTTGACCATCTCTGTTACTAAGTTATGGAATACTAAATAAATAAGTAATTAGATACCTTACCGTTACTGCGCTCATAAAGAATGATAAGAATAATGCGTCTTGAACTGGTTTCATTAATTAGTGTCTTGACGTTTCACAGACTGTTAGCTTGTTGTGTGGCTGGTAGCCTATTTGAGAGCATATAAAAATAAAGACTTGTGTTATGTCTTCCTTCATGCAATAGTAATTGGGGGGCAAGTGGAGTCTCGCAGAGGCAAAACTGTGGCGCGTACACTGTAGGTGCGCCGCAGAGGCAAAACTGTGGCGCGCTTACACTGTAGGTGCGCCGCAGTCTGCGTGATCTGCCTGTAGGGAGGGGCGGGCCGGCCCTGCGAGTAAAGTAACGAGCAAAGTAACGAGTTACTTTATGTAGAGAGTAACGAAGTAGTGTAATATATTACTTTTTTTTAAAGTAATATTACTTTTTTTTTAGTAACGACCCCATCTCTGGTCCCATGTCATGGCCATTTCCACTGATCATAATTCCATTGTTGAGGTCTACTAGAATAGATTTATACTGTGCAATTTTCCAAACTCACATTGGTTTCGCATACAGCATCTCTGTAAACTATGTGTATTCACTCTCTCCACTAAACGGCTCATTGCAGCTCTTGCCCCCCCCCCCCTCCCTGTGAGCCCAGTGTGCTCCGATTGGTCGGGACCAGTCGGGACGTTGTGAATCGCGCTGAGCTCCGTGGAGGTGTGATTTCCTTGTTTAGCGATACACAGCCAAACTCATCCTGAGCACACACAAAGTCACAGCAGAAATAAAAACAATAAGTGTGGCTTGATATTGAGTAAGAAAAAGGTTGATAAACGCTGTGAGAATGGGTCTGCAGAGAGAATTTCCCCACGATCCCAACTGTCTGTTATCAGCCTGCAGCCAGGGAGGAGAAATCCTCGGGGGGGTGGGTCGAATAATCGATTATTATTCGCCAGGGCTGCCGAATAATCGATTTTGATCATGGTCAGTTTCTGGCAACCCTAGTCCGTGGATTGGTCAATTTGGACCAATCAGCGGGGGCTTAACGTAACGGCTCCACAGATTGGTCCATTTCGTTCCGGGTACGGATGACATCATGCGTACCCGGAAGAATCAAATGGATGATGACGTTTCTCCAACGAGGCGTTTTGGGGAGGTATTTTCTGTGTTAGAGTTTTACTCGCTACAGGGTGTACTTTGAGGGTTTTGACTCTGCACACCGTTTACATGCATAAAAACCTTCATAACACACAAGGGGATGGGTAATAACCGGAAAAGCATGACATGGGACCTTTAATATAAGTTTGTGCATGGTGGCTTACTGGGGGCTTTCCTCCAATCATAGGGCGCTCCTCTGACATCATCATCTCTGGTGTAGCCCCACTCTACCATCGCCTGCACTATAGTGAAGAAATAAATGCCTAGGAGAAATACACAAAGACAAACATTAGGAACAAAAAAAGTTCCCTGACACATTTCATTCTTGTTTTTCTACCCTAGTAAGGACCCATTAAAAGGCAAGGACATTTTGCTTGGTCCCTACTTCTCCCAAGAACGGGTTTGGACCTTTTACTCACCCACACTACGTTTACTGGGGTCCAGATACTCCAAAGAATACGTCTGTCCGAATCCAGGGACACGGATTTCCACACCCGGGGGGGACGAGCTGCTGTGTGTGGTACTGTTGTAGATAAGCCTACCACACACACACGTCAATTTTACTTCTTTGGTAAACCAAATGCATTTACACTCACAGATACATCTTACTACAAGGCCCAGATACACTTCCCATTTATAATCACCCACATCCTTGGTTTGTGTGACAACAACTTCCCTCACTCGAAAACTGATGATGATTCATCATGTGAAAGAGGATGTGTAAAACGAAGTGTCGTGCAATGAAATCTAGATTTTTTTTTTTTTTTTTTTTTAAGCTATAAAACTCTTAATTAATAGGCCCATAAACTGCATTTTGGTTAATTTATTTAATAGAAAATTCAAAGAGGATTTAGAAAAAGTTCCTTCACTAAGTACCATAAAGTAATATTGATCGCACAATGTGATGGCTATAGAATAATGAGACCATCTGCATTCTGATTGGTTCCCTAAAGGTCATATTATCACTTTGCAATTCTGTCTGCCACCAGGTACGGTTTCCTGGCAAATATTGGCATATAAAACAAAGTCTTGAAAAACAATATGTATTGTGTCCTTGTTAGTGTTGCCAACATTTTTTCTAATAGCTAAAAGTGGTTTTACTTTGTGTTATGGATGTAATCGCACAATAATTCTAATAAAGCTTAGTGGTTGTGTTGGTTACGGCAAGGACACACTGGCAAGAGGAGAGGAGGAGCCCGGCTGATGGCAGAAAAGCCTTAGACTGACATTTTGATATGTTTAAAAATATGGTAGGTTGAAGCTCTTAGTTCAGTTAAATTAGCCAGAGTGGATTTATGTTATTGAACTAAACATCGTCAACTGACTCAGAGTTCCATTTAGCCTCACGGCACGCAACTCAACATGAATAAACCCATAGAATTACTCATGTCTCATGGGAATTAAGTGAGCTGCAATTTGCCTCGCCATTAACTTCAGTCATAAATCAGTCAAATCATAGTCACATGTTTTAGAAACCTTACACTTTCCAGGGATCCAATGCCTGCAGAATTTGCCGAAGAATATTGTCACATTCATATTTGTTCTTCGGTATGAAAATAATCCAATGTCAAAATGGTCTGACTCGACATTAAACTTCTTATTTACATCCATAAAGGCTCTTCAGCCACCAATGTATATTATGGGAACTGCAATTTTCAAAACTTAAATAAAATTATAAAAATATAAATATCCCAGGAAAAAAGACCCAGAATAGTTATAGGAGTTACACAACCCGTTAGCACATTATGGTTTCATTTATATTTGGATTTCAGTTCTGGCGTGACCGGTAATGTCAGAACTCTTTGGATGGATAATGTGTGACTTCACCACCGAGGCAGGTTACTGCATGAATAGCTCGTCTCTACTTACTAATAATAATAATAATACTCTTTATACTAATACTTTTAGCATTATCCTATAAGCGTCATTACCCAAGATAGCTTTATGCCCAAAGTATTATTAGTTAACAGGATTATGAGCAAGACTTTTCAAGATTAAACCTAAAAACACTAACATGTATTGAATCATAAGTGCACTTATATTGAAAGATTTCACTTTAAATGAAAATGTTTAAATTATAGCTCAATTATTTAAAAAACAGTTGACAATTCAACTGTATTTGCAACAACAACAACAAAATCATACAATCTAATTCCTGGTTTGTGTTTCCCTAACTCTAAGGAGAAGCCTGAGCTTTACATGAACTATTGTGCAACTGCTAAAATGCCATGCCAGCCAGTCAAATGATCAGCCAGTTACACAAGATGTCTTCTCAGGTTGCCCTCATTTCACAATGTTGCCCAAGATAACCAATCCTTTAGCTGCTGTTGAATGTTTATCATTGTTTGGATGAGAACTCCTTTATTTAGCTCATTTCAGCCTGGATAAATAAAAGCACATTGTATTATTAGGGAGCAGAGCAACAATTCAATATTATTGAAAAAAAGCACAACAATGTTTTTAAGAAGGAGATTTTGTAGTTTCTTAGGTCTAAATAACAATAATACAAAATATATCTTCTCAGAATTACAGGGTTTTGTCCCAGTTGAACACCATTTAAGCCATATAATAATATGCTCTAATACGTTTTGTAAGATCTGATAAGTTGAATGGCTAAATATGTGAGTGGTGATGGACACATTTAAGGAATGCTAACTCTTCCTCTGTTTCCTTCTGTACCTTGTTGATTAATGGGGGTTCAAAGGTCTGTTTTTCCAATGTAGGTTGATAACTGTTCATGCAGAGGTCATTGAACCCATGTACCCCATCTCTATCCTGTTAACAACCCCTCCAGGGATTTGCACTTTTGGAATTTGCCCCACAGAATGTTTTTTTGTTTGTATTCCTACATAAACAGCATAGGTGAAACATTTTAGGGTCACCTTATTGCAGAAAAATAACACCCAGATTAACATTCAATAATTCTAAAATGTAATATTAGTGATCTCTTCACACAAAATAAAATCGAGGCAGGAAAACAAACGTCATATTTCTCTGTTGTTCTGATGGCAAACATGACAAACAAACTTTATGAGAGAACATCTGACTGACAAACAGTACTTTATGTGCACATAGAAACCCACGTCATACCTTATGTTGTCAATCCAACAGTCAATGGCTACAGGGATCAGCAGCTCCAGGTTGAGCCACAAAGTGAAGAAGTCCGTCTTCTTATAGCAGATGTAATGGACCACACTGGGTTTATCCAGCTTTGCCTCCAACTGGTTTCCCAAATCCCCCGGAACTGCAATGAGCAACATTAGTAATGAGTTGCAGTAGTAAAAACTCACAGTAGCAATTAGGCTCAAAAGTGTCAAATTAGCCACATTAGCAAAGAGTCACATAAGCAAAGTCATATTTGCAATTAGCTACATTAGCAAAGAGTAACATTGGCAAAGAGTTACATTAGCAATTAGCCACATTCACAAAGGACCAAACTAGCAATTAGCCACATTAGCATTAGGAAAAAGTCACATTTGCAAAGTGTTGCACTAGCAATTGGCCTTATTAGCAAAAGTTACATTAGCAATGAGCCAGATTAGTACATTTTCAAAAAAGCAGTTGAGAGATAACCCAGCATTTAGCCTAATTAATCAAATTATCAAAGACTCACATTATCAAAGAGTAACATTAGAAAAGAGCCACATTAGCAATTAGCAAAGAGTCATGTTCGCAAAAAAAAAAAGATTAGCGATTAGCCACCATTCTGTAACTATGCTTCCACTGCAAGATTGTCCAAAATGACATGTGGATAGATTTAAATTATAATAAATTCTGATGGCAATTCGACTTGTTTTTAGCTAAACTTGAATTAAGACAAGAGAGATAGCTTTTAAAAACATGCAGATTTAAAAGGTAATAACTACTTTCCACCCATGCACCTTTTGCTTATATTTGGCACTGTATCACATTATCCTGTCCAATCCTATCTTAAAACATTCAGTTATTTTTACATCTTTTAATATACTTTATTGTTGTACTTGTATATGTGTCCTGCCATTGTTCATCTTAGCTCTGCTGCAAGCCACATTTCTCCCACTGGAACATTAAGGAAGTGATGTTAACAATCCCAAGCTGTAAAGTCATGTATTGGGCCAGTTCTCAATGATGAATGCCCAGTAGCAAATGCATATAGATTGAAACACTGACATTGAAAATAAATAATATTGAGAAAAGGCAGACATCAGAGTTTTTTTGAAAGAATGAAACTAAGAAGATGTATTCTCTCTATTTGGTCAAATTTGGAAAAAAGGTTGTGCAGCATGTTAAGCTATAAATGTGTCATTTGTTTCAGTGCTTTAAGAAATAAAAGTATGATGTTCCTGATTATTGGGCTTAAATTTGACATTAAGAAAGTGGTATATGGGGTGAGTTCGAGTCAGTGTTCATTTATCAGAAAGGTTCAAATTTGGTCTAGCATGATAAATATTGACCACTTCTACAAAGTGGACTGGAAATCGGAAACAAAAAAAACCTTCAGGTTGTTAATGTGACAAACTTACAAAAAGCGCTCAAAGGCTTTCGTCTATGAATGTTATAAATTGCACTAATTTGAGTGACAATAAGCACCCAAATGCTTGTTAAATGGCAGTTTGAAACAACTGTACTATTGATAATTAAATCAAAGGACACGACAGAGGTAAAGAAAAGCAAAGTGTTTTTCCATTCTCTATTGATGTGTGTTATACCACTTAAACAATGTTATACAATCTGCAGAAACTTGGTTTGTAATAGCATCAACATGAGGTTAAGTAAGAATTATTTCAAGACACCTTTCCTCACAAGTATATAACCACCTTAGCAAACAAACTGCAACAGATCACTGTAGGTCGAGCAGCTATAAAGGCTCTTATGACACACTCATGAGGACAGACAGAGGCTGTGGTTGTAAACAATGATAAGATTGCTCTAAACCCAAGAACCTTTCAAAAAGGAGTTGTGTAAGAGGAGAAATTGCAGATATGTAAGCTGTTTAGGGGTAATGTTATAGCTCTAAGCATGGATTATAGATTGAAATTTAAATAAAAGGCATACAAGTGTATTTTAGGACAAAGTTAAATGGAGCCTTCCTCTGTAATCTGGACACATGATTGGCTCCATGAATAACTCAAGTCATATGATCACTGCTCTGCCTGTAAACACACCATCACATTGAAGAGGAGAACAACCTGCATTATGTATGCAAATAAAAACGGGTTAAATGTTAACTAATCATGTAAATATGTGCACATTAGTGTGGTAATAAGGGCTCTCCGAAATACTTTCCCTGACAGTACCGAGCCAGACTACTTTCACAAATATAAATACATTTCTTGACAGTCCTATTAAATTCTCAACAAACGATGACCAAATACATTTTCGGAATTTGTTTTTCTATTCGGCACCAACTTCAATGATTGAAATAGAATTTCTTCAGGTTAATGTTGACATGTAAGTAACCAGTGGTACACACTGTTCTCTACGACCAATGTTTGGGCGTTTTGTTGGAAGATGAAAATGAAGCAACAGGCCAAACATTTACTTAAGTTAAAACGTTTGTAATCGAGTATGCACACATTGGATATCTATATAACAGCCGAATTGCCGAATAGTAATTTGAACATTGCTGAGATTTATATGAAGCGTTATAATGTTTACAAAAAGCCCAGAAATATGTAATTGGCTGTAGAGCCGATGAACGGGAGTCAGAGGCGGTGTAAACTTTGAACGATAAACTTTGAGGGGAGTTTGGCCCATCTTGAATATTGCCCACGGTAGCTAGCTGTTGATGTGCTGGTTGCCGGGCTGCAATTATAAAGCAACAGACAGTAACAAGAGTAAAAACAATGAAGAAAACACTTACTGAGGACCACGGGGGGTCTCGGGGGCTGACACAATTTGCCACCGAGACATTTCTCCACCGTTCTCCCGCTGCTCCGAGTCGAAAATAACAACAATAACAACCCGACTTGGAGCAGCGAAGATAGGGCGGTTATCCGGTGCCAAGCCGCCATGGCTCCAGATGTCTCATAGCCGGGCGGTCATGGTAGCCTCTTCGGTGTGTGTCGGTCTTTGGCGGATTCTCTCTGGTTTGCTGTAAAAGCCCTCTGAACAGATGTACCTCACCGTTGATTGATGAACAGTAAACAAGGTGGTGATCACGAGGTAAAGATTACAGAGCAATCCACCCAGCAACACGACTTTCAGCTATCAAGGCAAAAGTAATCGACCGCCGATGTAGTCGAACAGACGCAAAGCGAGATGTAGGCCCATTCCCAAACCGCCCCCTACACCCTACCCCTCCGTTTGCGCGTTCACGTGGAGGGTCCGCCATATTGAGGGCTGTTCCAAAGCAACGTGTGTAGAGTATGGATGTATAATAAGAACTGGATACAGCGTGGGAGGCGGGATCTCATTCATTCCTATGAGAGTTGTGTGTGTAGATGTATGTGCATTAATAAACAAGGCAAGTCAGGCTGTGTCTCAACGCCATGTATTCACACTGAGCAGGCAATCATACAACGGAGGTATATTACGTGAAGCAGATATATATATATATATAACACAGGCACAATACGTCCACAGGGTGGAGCTGCAACCTAGCCTAAACCACCCTGTAACAAGTTGCTCAATGGCGCATGATGACAAAATCAAGCCCCCAGGAAGTGCGCCGGAGTCTGATGAGAATATTCGTTGTGGCCAAACGGCAGTACTACACTTCCTCTAGGTTGCTGGGCCCGGAAACACTTTTTCCCATTGACTTACATTGGGAAAGAGTGGTCTGTAACTCGTCGGATAATTAAAAAAAACAACTAAATAAACAACCCAGTATGAACACTTGTATAGCCCTTATTAAAAACATTAGTTCCTCAAGTTGTAAAAATGTGCTAATAACGTTATTCTGAGAGTTATTTCCCTTTGCATTATGAACGTGCATCTAACCCACGGGACCGCGCCGCCCGGCACGTTCAAGTTACGTGTTCAGCAATACATGCGTTTATCTTTACCCATGGATGCACAATAAGAACGGACCCATATCGCCGTACTGCCATCCCACGGAGCTGTAATAATGGATATATTGCACATGTTTGCTGTAATTCATCATTTGTAAAATATTATACTACATGGGCTGTATGATGTAAATCTTGTACCGTAAATGTTGAATTAAATAAAGTTAATATTACCGACGTTAGATTAACGTCCCTGTAGCTTATTATTGCACTAAGAACGAAGCTTATTGCACTGCATATATATATATATATATATATATATATATATATACAGTGCAATAATTCTTTCATGCTAAATGAAGCTCTGTTGGATATCACTAGATCCTGTTACAGCGTAATATAAGTACATAACGATTGATGTGCACATTAGCATAAATACTAGCTAGCTGCTAACCGCCGCCTCGTTAATATCAAATCCATCATAATAACAAACATTACCATGCTGTCATGAACGCACGGTGCTGTTACGTGTACGCAAATTGACGTGCTTGATGTGAACGAGCATTTTGGTTAAAGTTGCGCATGCTCTATGAGTGCACATACGGGTACTTCTCACGCATGCCGGGTAATCTGTGACGTTTCACTCTCTCAAAAGTTACTGCGGTCAAGCCAGCCGTCTTTCACTTTTGCGTGGTCAAACTAAGCCCCCAGGAAGTGCGCCGGAGTCTGATGAGAATATTCGTGCTGGTCAAACGGCGGTACTACACTTCCTTTAGGTTGCTGGGCCCGGAAACACTTTTTCCCATTGACTTACATGGGGAAAGAGTGGTCTGTAACTCGTTGGATACATTTTTTTAAACTAAATAAACTACCCAGTATGAACACTTGTATAGCCCTTATTAAAAACATTCGTTCCTCAAGTTGTAAAAATGTGCTAACGTTATTCTGAGAGTTATTTCCCTCGGCATTATGAACGCGCATCTAACCCACGGGACCGCGCCGCCCGGCACGTTCATGTTAGGTGTTCAGCACTACATGAGTTTCTCTTTACCCATGGATGCACAATAACAACGGACCATATCGCCTTACTGCCATCCCACGGAGCTGTCATAATGGATATATTGTACATGTTTGCTGTAATTCATCATTTGTAAAATATTATACTACATGGGCTGTATGATGTAAATCTTGTACCGTAAATGTTGTATTAAATAAAGTTAATATTACCGACGTAGATTAACGTTCCTGTAGCTTCTTATTGCACTTGCAATTGTTTTAGTTACTTGAGGGCTACTTAACATGAATAATCACAGTTACTATCCTTTTACTGCATCACATTTAAAAAAGAAATAGGCTATTGTTATTTTAACTCCACCACAGTAATCCATCACCAGCTTTACCTTTTAGATAAAGTTTTAACTCACAATTGATCATAACAGGCTTCAACATATACATTTTTATATATTACCAAGTGGTTTCATGTACAACCCACACAAGTATCATGCTAAATGAAGCTCTGTTGCTTGGATATCACTAGATCCTGATGTCAGCGTAATATAAAAGTACAGAACGATTGATGTGTAATTTAGCATAATTTACTAGCTAGCTGCTAACTGCCGCCTCATTAATATAAATCCAGTACCATGCTGTCATGAATGCGCGATGCTGTTACGTGTACGCAAATTCATGTGCTTAATGTGAACGAGACTTTTGGGCGGCGTGGTTAAAGTTGCGCATGCTCGATGAGTGCACATACGGGTACTTCTCAGGCATGCTGGGTAATCTGTGACGTTTCGCTCTCTCAAAAGTTGGGCCATTTTGTCATCATGCGCCATTGAGCAACTCTCATAGGAATGAATGAGGCCCCGCCTCCCACGCTGTATCCAGTTCTTATTATACATCCATGGGTCAAACCAGCCGCCCCTGTATTTCGAGTGCGCGATTAGTTACAGGTTTACGGTAATGCAATAAAACAACCCTGGGAAGCTGGACGTTTCGTATGTGCAGGAACACTTCCGGTGAGGATTTCAAAGTAAAGGATGGCATGTGGGTCATTTATATTATCTGCGATTGAGGAACAGGGTAATTTATGAGAATAATGTTAGGACTTATTGCTTCATACACTTGTTGCACAAATACTATGAACTACTTTTACTGTGTACTTCTTGAGAATGGCAAAAGTCCCTCCAGAGAACAAGAAGGAGCATTTTCGTCAACTTTAATGTGGTCTAAAAAACATTTCTTCCATAAGTAGTTTATGAAACTGCCATGTTTGTACTTAGTACTTCTTGGACTACTTGCACAAATAATATGAACTACATGCCTCAAGGTATAACTTGGTTTCCAGGCCTGATCTGGTGGACATGTACCGTCAGTCTCCCAGCGGCGTAGAGTGAGGTGGAGGAACCGCGGGGTGTGCTAATTCAGTGCCCCATATTGCTATTTTCCAAGCTAATGTAGCTTTGTCATATTTGTCAATGCTGAATTGAGGCTATTGTCATCATGTGGGTGGACTTAGACTCAAACCTGGGGTGAAGTTACACTTTAATTTAATATGTTGCTATTAGACATGATTAGAATTGTCAGTATCCCTATTCCACTACTCATCATATTTTATATTCTCTCTGTTCATTATATGTGTAAACAATGTATATACATTACCATTTATCTGAGAGAAGTTGTCTTGACTGTTTTGTTAGTAAATCAATTTATATCGGTTCCACAGTCATTTTGAATAGAGTTAATGTGTGTGGGCTGCAGCTGGGGCGACGCACGAGGTTGCCGTAAAAAAATTATTCGGCATGCGCCGAAAAGTAGAAATCGAAGCATGGCCCTGCAGCGTTTTCGCTGGACCGCCTGATCTGGATAGACCCAGTGACTCAACAGTTTTATAAATACATCTAATATCATAAATTGAATTTGATTAGAATATGATGAAGCCCTATTATAACTACACTACGACAAATACTCACCCAATCTGTATGGGAGGCCCAGATCCTGGGGGCTTTGAGGCAGAGCACATTGCACAGTTGTTCTCCATGTGAAACACTGCAGGAAAAGAAAATATGTTATTTAGACATACTGTATATGTATACAGTTAACAGTTTATTGGCAGCAGAAGTGCAGTCAAATTCTATGCAGCTGTTCAGCTGTAAATTATAGCTTATGAACTCTAAATGGATCATGAATGGGATCATTAACATAGGTTTTTAAGGATGGATGTTTTAAAAAGAAGACTATGTACACAGTGTGAACAGAACAACATATAAGCAGACATACATAAACAATCCGTAATATTCTAAACATTACTAGGCAATGACCTGTATGCAACAAATTTAAAAATGCAGGAATTTATATTTGTCACTGTTTCACTCTAAGCCCTGTTTTGTGTTCCATATTTCACCCATGCCTCCTGCCACTCTGCCTGTAAGCTTTCAATAAACCACCTATAAACTGTTCCTGGATGCCTGGTACAATCTGTATTTGTTTCCTCTTCCCTGCTCTCCTGACACAAACCGTGACAGTTCAAGTGTCAGTATTTACATTCCTTATTGCAGCAGGAAAAAAAGTTATTCTTCAACTGTTAATGTCTCAATGGAGTGTGTGTGAGAGAAATATAAGTTATGGGTTCAACTGAGATATGTATGGAATATTTGGTTTGGGCCCTATGCTTAAAATCAATGATGCTGTCGGCTATAAATGCTTTAGTGTGTGGACTCAAAGGCAATTTTACAGGCTGTAGTTATTGTAGATTTGTTTGATTGCATTGGATTAATAGAAGTTCATCATTTCCATAACAACTAACTAAGAACCATAACATAAAGCAGGACAAATGACTTACAAACCTGAACCACTGAGTATTGAAAGTGCAAACTTTCTCCTCTCACAAGCCATCTCCTTTTTGGATGTCCCAAAGGACATCATTGGTAATGCAGGAAAGGCCTCCATCACTGCTCTTGCCATCTACACATCAACACACAGAATCACACTTCTCATCTGCGCTACATTGTTTTTGCCAGTAAAATTACAACATTGAATTGATATTTCAATACAAATGATCAAACTATTAATAACTAATAGTTGTAATGAGGTAATTAACACAACTTGAAGCATGTACATGACAAACTACATGGGTTGTGTCAACAACCAGCCCTCTTATCACTTTTACACAATTCCCCTAAAAAATAAACTGAAAATTGATAATTCAGAAACTAATGACTTAACTTTTAACATCATTGACTATTTTATACTTTAAACTTGTATAATAATCAAGACACTGAAATAAATATAAGAATATATATATATA